TTTCGGAATTCTTCGAGCCTTCGCCTGTATTCTAGGCAACTCGCAGTAGGTGCTTTTGCATGGGCGAGCATCATGAGCACCTTTGGGTTGATGTGGGGGCGCAACGAATATCATGTTGTATATACAACAGGAAGGATCAAAGTTTGTGCGGGGAGGAGGGAGGCGATGTTTGCTTATGTTTATAAGAGAACACATAGACCGCAAAGCCCACAAGCGGATATAATATGATGTGACATGACTATTTGACACATAGCATCGCCCGGAAACAAGATTGCAAGCCACGACATCAACCCCGCCCGGGGCACGAAGCTTCGCACCAATGCTGTTCAGCACCAATCGAGGCATCCTCACAGAATGTACTGATTGGAGTGGTTTGGGGTCGACATTTAAGATGGTTCAGGTCTTCGGGGATTTGGTGTCGGAGATTGCTCTCAGTTGTTGCCATCAACAAACGGGCCGGGTTTCCTACGCTTTTCATCAGGACCCATAGATGCCAGTACAAGCAGTACAGAGAAAGAGCCCAAGGGTCTTCAAGTCTCTGGTTCCCAAAAAGCTAGCAAGCCCTGTAATGCAGCAGGAAACATCACTCAAGGAGCAGCAGGACTCGGGTGCGGAGAGCCGACTGGGGCTGGGACTCGATGTGTTAATAGGGCCAATAGGGATTCTAGAAGACTATGAACCCAATCCAAAATCCCATTCCCGAAACGAACCCCGACCTAATAGGCGGCTTTCGGCTCTGTGGTTCGGTGCTCTAGGCTTAGGGGGTTGTGGTTTTTGGTTTAGTATGCAAGCTGTACGGAGCCCACGCCTTCGCAGGCGACCCCCCGCTATAGCTCTAACTTAGCTATATACCTACCTGCCTTTGCATAATTTACTATACCTATACCTGTACATATACCTACCCTTCTTCCTACGCCTACGGCCCTATGCTACCTACACCAATACCTATACCTACACCTATACGTAAACCTATACTTATAGCTTTACAACCCATACCTATACC